AGGTTTAAAACAGAAAGCCATCTCTTTCCCCCATACCGAAAAAAAAAAAAAAAAAAAAATCCCTCAAAACTGAATCTTCTTCTGTGGAAACTTTTTCACTGTCCCTTTAGGATATCCAGGTTCCAATTTTTCACAGCAACTCCTCACATGCAAGTGTCAATTGACTTAGTCTTTTTTTTTTTTTATTCTTTCTCTATCAGTTCAGTTGTTTGTTACTGTTGCTCAGATAATCACATTTCCATGTGGCTCTTAGTGTAACTCAGTAGGGAAGGTGAAGGAACTCTCTGTTCTTTCCAGCAGCAATCTCAGTAGCATCTGTGTGTGCAAAGAGGGATTTTCTTCCGGTATGTCAAGGTGCTCATATGATTCTATTTCTGCATTTCTAGTCAAAAAAAAAAATGTTTGTAAGAACTACTGATGTGCAAAATTAATCCTCTAGTGGGAACAGAACAAGACACACTCACTATAAAGATAAGTCAGTATTTTCCATTTTAACATTAGCTGAGTAAAATAAACATCCATATAACAGTCCAGAAACATTCCTATTTCTTCCATTTAGTCCTCCATCAATGTAACTGGAGCTGAGTTAACCTGTAAACTGTTCCACTTCCTCTGATTATAGTATGTTAAAGGTCTCAACAGGTCCCAAGATTAATTTAAAGAATTTAAGCAAGATTCATTTAATAGCTGCATCTCAAAAGCATGTTATCATCTCTAAAGCCTGTTAGCATTAAAATTGACTAATCAGAAGCATGCAAGTGAGTATCTAAGTGAGAGAAAAATGAAAAAAGACTGAGACTCAATCATTTTAGAGTTGTCTTTCTGGTGTGTTCTTGTTGAACCTCATGGTAACCATCATAAAATGTTTCCTGAAGCTTACCAAATTCAGGCTGTGACAAAATCTTAAGGCCCAGGGAGTTTGAAGGTATAGCTCTCCATGGATAGGGCTGTACTGTCAGACACAGAAAGATGTACCCTAAGGCCTAAAAGCTCAAGTTAGTTTTTTAAGGATACTCACCACAAATGCAGAGGAAGGAGACAGAATACTATGAGACAGAGCCAGCCTATTACAAATGCACAAGAACAAAATGCATCACTTGAAGATGCTGTACTCTAGTAAATAGGAGAGACGTGTAGAGAGATGAGATCAAGGACCATATGGTTATAACAGTCTCCTAAACAAAGCAAGTAGTATAACTTTTCACACTGAAGTTTTGGTGAGCTTTGACATTGGGTGTAATTGAAACAGTAATTTGAGCCCTAATGAAGACTAGCTATGTGCACTGTTTGAGGGACTCCATGTTTTGGTTTGGGTTTTTTTTGGTCTTAAACACAAGTGAGAGAAAATAAAAGTTTGATTGCTTTTAAAGCAAGTTATCAGAAAGTATTTGTGAAGGGTAACCAATTTTTTCATCTTTTTATAGAGCACAGGAGAGCATCTGGTCAAGGGACGGGCATGTTAACATTGTTACAACCAAAATACTATTGCATAGACGTACCAAAGAGGGCCTTCTGGACATAGAAAATAGTAAGAATGAGGACAATTTATTTATGCTGAGAGTTATCGTCCTACATTTTCAGTCTTTTTTTTATGCTTTAACCCATGAAAATCAAATTTATATTTTGGTCAAACATGCAAGGTCTGGATTTAAGCTTAATAGTACCTTTAAAAATAATAAATCCCCTAATGATTGTACATACCTTGAACCTGACCCAGAAACAGACTCCGACTACCAGCACAGCAATGACTCCTAGCACAGGAATGACTCCTAGCACAATATTCCTGGTGTTACCTGAATTTTCTTTAAAAATACAAATTCCAAAAAGTTTAACAGAAGGGCTTTATATTGCAAATTAATGTTCATTATTGTTCAATAAGTATATCAAAGCTATGATTTTTTTCTCCTATTTATAATCTAAAAGCTATGATTTAGGGAGAATGTCTCGGTTTCTTTTTAGGGTTACTAATATATAAATGTTCAAGTTACTTGACCCTTACTCTAAGACTTTAAAGTGATACTTTAATGACTTAAGTGTGAATAGCTGAAAGCAGATTATTTTACTTAATTGTGCTGATACAAAATTCCATGTGTGTTCATGTAATGTGATTTGACGACTTCTTAATACTTAAGTCCCATTTAAAAACAATCAACTGCCCAGTATGGTAAACACTGCCTCCAGGCACAGTGCTCAGTGCCATTAACAGTACTGCTGATTTCCAGTAGAACAACTCAGTAAGCGTTATCCAGCCCGGACCATAGATTTCATTATTTCTGTTGCGAAACCTTTGCAACTTTCATCTAAAACATTTCCCAACTTCATGATACAACCACGCAATCTAGGTAGGCACAAGAAGCAGCAGATCCTCAGGTGGGTGGTAACAATGGATTCCACAGGAGATAAGAGCCCGTCTAGCACAGGTTGGTCCTGCACAGCACCAAGTGTCTCATTATGCCAGCCAATTTCAACAATGTGAGAACACTCAGACCCGAAGGACTCATTCCTTTAAGTACGGTTCTTCTACTTCAGGCTTCCTTTCCACTGCTGCGTCTCGTCCAAAGAATTTGGAAAATTCTACCCTCCTCTGGAAACTCCCTATGGATGTCTAGCAAAGAGTTCAAAAACGAGAACTGCCAAACCAGAGCATTTAATCTAGTCATTGCCTTTAGCTTGGCTCTGTCCCCACAAGCAGACCTGTTTACATCTTGTCAGTTCCTTTGGTAGAGCAGCTTTAAGCTGCGACCTTTCTTTACACAGGAGAAGGCCTCTAAAATGATTGTAAATTCATCTCACTTTTCCCCTTAAAAGTCTCCTTTCCAGTGGCACTTGGAAATCTTTCTGACGGTTGAGCAGCTGCTGTGCTTTGACCACTATCTAGTATACTGATCTAGCTCGTTCCCATATGCCCTACTGTCTCTATCTGCTTATCTGCTTCCAGCCTGTGCTGCCACAAAGATACTAAGTGTCTTTGTTCTGTAGAATGTATTTCTGGTCCACAAGTAGGAAAATTCTGTGAGTGGCACAGTAATTTAACCACTAAAGAGGGGATTTCTATCACTTATGGCTATTGTAAGATCCATCTGCAGAAAGCAGCTGCAGAAAGGCATTTGTAGAGGATGATCCAGATCATATTTGGACTGAACACGTGCGTGTGTCTGTCTCCAGTGAATGTACAGGGAGACGGATGGACTTGCGCGTATAAGTTAGGAGCATCAGTTAAGTGTGTAACTCCTTGGGGGTTTTCAATGCTTTCCACTTCAGAGGCACAATATTGGCTTTACAGGATAAGGAAGACCATGCTGGAATTTGAGCTGCAACAAAGTGTGTTTGTCTGACTTAACCGTTTTCTTTAATCTAACTCCCCTTCTTCAGATTGCATATAGCCACTGCCATTTAAAACACCCCCTATATCAAGTTTTCAGACCGAAACTAAGCTATCATGGGGGAGGGGGGGGAAAGGAAGACAAAAATATGCAGTGATTACCACTTATTCTAGCCCCTTTCCTGCTAAGTTGCCTCTATTTTTCATGTCCTACTGGCTTGTTTCAAGTTCTCGTCTTTCTTAAAAAAAACAAATGAGGTGTTCTATATTAGTTCTCAGTCGTTTAGGTGATTGTGTTTAATTGTGTAAAATACCTGTGTGCTACTGTTTGAATGGTTTTTTTTCTCCTCCCTTTGGACTGAGATTTAAGGAGGCTGCATCCCAAACAGCATACTATTTTTGAACAAATCTGTAATTTGTTTGCACTATAATTTTAGAAAGCTGGAGTAATTTTTTTTAACCTTTGGTAAGAATTTTCAATAGGTAGAAAAGTTAATCAGTAAGTCTCCTTGAAACTGGAGACAATGAAATAACTGTAACTAAGACTTCACAGTTGGAAATTTACTACAGTTCATAAAAACACAGGCATGTATATATACATATATATCCCCAGGTCTAAGAAAGGCCTGCTGTGTAGAATTAAAGCTTTGAAAATAACAACTGTGTGCTCTCCTCAACAAGGTTTCTTCTGCAGGCACATTTAATACCACATCTTTGGGCTTCCCATCATCTCCCTGCTACCTTTAAAGACTGTATTTGCTATTAGCAGAGCATTTAGGACATGATTCTGAGAGCTTCCCTGTGCCCTCAGTTCTGAGGGCAGTTGGTGGCAACTGAGAGCAGCCACCGATTGAGACCTTTGCCACAACAAGCTGCTAATTGAAAAAAAGAAACTTCAAGTCTTTAAATAAATTCATCTTAGGTAACATTTTTTTCCTGGGGGGACAAAATAAAACATCTCTACTACCCACCTGTACTTATTACACAAGATGATTTTTCTCAATATTTTACTTCTGATTGACTCTTTGGCTCTGCATTCCCCTCACTGGTCCCCATCCTCCGAAATGGAAAGACTGGCAACTTACCAACTTGCAAAGTTCTCGCAGTCAGTTTTGTGTAGTGAGGTGTTGAAATATTACATAGATATTCTCCACTGTCATTTGCAGTAAGATCACACAACTTCAGTGAAAAGTCATTTTGGTTAATCTGGACTCGAGGCTGGTAAGAGTGAGATGTACCATTGAAGGAGGCCAGGACTGAGATCACTGCATTTCTGTTTAATGTCCAGACAACACTGACACCTTCATTGTTTGTAGTGTTATTGCTGTATTCACAAGGAATTGCAGTGCTACTTCCTTCCACGCTAGACAGTTGGTCTGAAACAGATAATTGAAGAACCCTCTGCAATTTTTTTGGAAAATACTGTGAAGGTTATTTAGACATTTTCTGATTGTTTTCTGAAGTCTGATACTACTGTGGACAAATATAAAAACATATTTCACTATTTTGATATCATATTCAAACATCACGGTATGCTTCTAGAAGCACCTGAAGATTTTAAAAGCAAACCTATCTTACATTAAAAAAAAATAAAAACCTAAACGGTATTAGCTATACTTATGAAAATTATTTTGTTTTCATTTGCCTATTTCACCTCTAACTGGTGTGTGTGTGTGTGTGTGTCATTAATAAAAGTGATTCAGCCTAGTCTAAGTTACTGTGTAAAGTAGCATGAAATTCCACACGTTGGGAGCAGAGAGAAAATGCAACAAATCAGACACCTGCACATTTAAAGCAAAAGGGTAAAACTGTTACATTGTAATTTAATTAAAAGAATAAAAAGATTGTATTTAGTTAGAAATAACTTTCAGTTATGGTGGACTTAAGTACTTTACCTGTCTGTGTGGAACACTTACAATTAATTAATAGCTTTCAAAAAAAGGAAGGGGAGGGTTTAAGTGGAACTAATAGCTAATGTAAAAAATAATAATATAAGCAAATTAGTATCATAGCACAACCATCAATTTGACAGCAGGGATTTGCTGCAAAGGAAGGAAAAACAGAGGAGGCTGTGGTGGCTGGCAGTCTGCTGGAAAGGAAACTAATACGTTATTTTGACACGGTATAACCACACTTGGTTTCTGTTTGTGGGGCTGAATGAAGAGAGACATGGGGCTGAAAACCACGAGGGCAAAACAAAACAAAACTCTACCCCACACTGCTATTATATAAGGAAAAGGAAAGCAGTATATTTTCAAAATGTTCCAGTGAGAAGATAGATGGATGTCCTGGTTTCGGCAGGGATAGAGTTAATTTCCTTCCTAGTAGCTGCTACAGTGCTGTGTTTTGGATTTAGGATGAGAACAACGTTGATAACACACTGATGTTTTAGTTGTTGCTAGGTAATGCTCACACTAGTCAAGGACTTTTCAGTTTTCCATGCTCTACCGACTGAGAAGGCTGCAGGTGCACAAGAAGCTGGGAGGGGGCACAGCCAAACTGGCCAAAGGGACATTCCATACCATGTGACGTCATGCTCAGTACATAAACTGGGGGAAGCTGGCCGGGGGGGCCGCTGCTTGGGGACTGGCTGGGCATCGGTTGGCGGGTGGTGAGCAATTGCACTGTGCATCACTTGCTTTGTGTATTATTATCATCATATTATTATTATCATTTGATTTCAATTATTAAACTGTTTTTATCTCAACCCACGAGTTTTTCTCACTTGTGCTTTTCCAATTCTCTCCCCCATCCCACCGGGGGGGGGGGAGTGAGTGCGCGGCTGCGTGGTGCTTAGTTGCTGACTGAGGTTAAACCACGACAACGGATGTAAACAAAATGTACAAAATGTACATTTTTCTCTTGTGGATCAGAAGGATAGATTAATAAAATAGAAACTTATAGTGCACTTGTTACCTGCTATGATGCCGTACTTGAAACCTTCCATATTGCAAGCTATTGTATGTAAATTAGAAACTGCACTCTTGTCCTGAAGGATATGCAGTGGATTAGGAACTGAGAGTGTCTGGGTACACTTTAGGGGGAAATCAGGGCAATGGAAGCAGCCACACACATCTCGCAAGGGAATTGCTCTTGCATTGCTCTGGATCCCATTAAAAATATTTCTTAAGAAACAGGAGAGGTTGAAAAGTACCAGTTATTTACTTGAACTGAATTTCCAGTGAAATTCAGGAGGAGGACAAAACGGAGAGTTGAAATTTCATAGCCCTGTTTTTCCTTAACTAACAAAATGAGCTGCTGTTTGCTCAAATGCAAGCTTGCTGCTCTCCACTCCCATGCACCCCCAGCACCCAACCCAGGCACTTAAGAATGCACTTGAAGAGAAGTACAATGAAAGCATCAAACAGTACTGAAAAAACTCTCACAAAAGATAGGGAATGGACTGAGTAAAGAGCATATGCACCTAGAGCAGCAGGCAAACTTTCCCCTCTCTCATATAACCTACAGGTTCACTAAGATTTCCATGTATTTTGTCCAAGTTCATTCTTTTTTTCATAGAGTGTAAAGTTTGATTATTATTATGCACCTCTTGAAACATGAAACTGATATGAAAAAAGCGTTCAGAGTAAAGCTAACTCACAGAAGTGTGAGCTATCCCCTCTTATCCCTACTTCTTGAACATATACTGCCTTGTAACAGATGAGTTTCAAAGAGGAAGGCGCATCCTTTTGCACCATCCCATATCCGTGTTGCCCCACTACAGAAATACTGTATTTAATTTGGCTCTGAAACCAGCTGTGACATTCAGTAACAATGCAGGAAAAGACTTCCATCCATTCCTACCTTGCATCTTCCATTCAGCAGCCCACTCTTCATAAGGGAGATGAATATGACAGTAGTAAGGATCAGCTGTATTTATAATGTTTTGGTCACTTCTAAGAGAATAGAGAACTCCATCCCTGGTTTCCTGCCGATCTGTTTCTTGGATGGATGTATTGCCTTGTACCCAAGATATATGTGGTGCTGGGTGAGTGAGAAAGGCATAGCACTTCAGCATCCTTTCTGTGTCTGTCTTTTGGTATTCTAGTGCATAATAAGAGGAAACTGTAGATGAAAAAAAAAAAAGAAAATCAATCCTACTAATTTCAAAATCCTTTTTAACTTGAAGAGATTGGTCTTTTGAAATAACATTGGGGAGAATAAACATAACTGAGAACAAAATTTAATCTGTGTTTGATTTCAGAAGAAAGCACAGCATTACTTACTGTCAATGCCAGGGTCTGTACTGTTCTGAGGAGCCACATGTTTTAAAACTCAAGTATATTTCCTAGTTACCCTTTAGAAATCATGGTGCAGTAGGTTATGAGAACAAGTACTGCGCTGAAATTTTTCAACTCATGTTACAACGTTTCACCAGAAAAAATGAATTGCCTGATAATACCATCAAGCCCAAAAGGTGTTCTGTTGGGTTGGAAGATTTTGATTTCATGTAAGAAATAACATGAGAAAATCTGTTGGTGTAATCCCATTTCCACTGGTGTGATCCAAGCACTTTTGATGTCTTACTGACCTCTTACGTGCAGCATCACTTCCACTTCTGTTTTAGTTTGCTGTGTTCCCACATAGCAATTATAAGAGCCCTCATCAGTCACAGTCAAGTTACTAAGTTTCAAGGAGGCATTTCCACTAGGAATGTTCTCATGGAAAAGGTGTGTTCTGTGTCTATAATCTGGGTCTTGTCTTTCCAGCTGATCACTCTGGTCGTAGTAGCTGTGCACAATTTTGTCCCCTTTCTGCCAGTAAATTACTTCATAATCCCCAGGTGAGAAAGGACAAGGGAGGATGCAGTCCTTCGAAAACAGCCCTGTTACTGTTTCCTGTTCTGTAAAACCTGAAGACAAAGTACAAATGAATAAGTTAAATCTAGTCTACAAGCATATTTCCGCCCCTCCTTATCCCTGACAAAAAAAATGCTCTGGCAGGCAGCACATTCCTACCGAGCGTGCCAATGGATCTTTCATGGCTTTTCTGTAGTGTGAGTCTCTGGCACAGCAAGGGTCTTCATTCAGTTTAATCAATATTATAATGCAGAGCTCTGGTCTTGGAACTTACAATCAGTTTAAGTAGATATCCTGAGTAAGCACCTATATATTCAAATCAGCACACCGCCACCTTAGCACCTGAGCTTCAAATGCATTTCCAAAAGCACCACCTTCAACCTCAAAACCTTTTGAGTTGCAGCTTGCTACTTGCTCAAATGTTCATAGTGCCATGTTGCAATGACCCAGGTTACCAATAACCTCACATAGTGCCAAGCAGTTGCACCATCACAGAAAAAAAGGATGCA